TTTGGGTGATGGGTTCTTCCTTCTTTTTTTTTTTTTTTTTTTAAAAAGCGATATATATGATTTTCTAAAAAGCTGCTTCAGATACAGCCGGTCTTTTTAGTTGTGGTAATTGACAGCTCGGCAGCTCTGGGTAGTAACCACACTGCTGAAGTGCCTCCATGATGAAAAGGATGCTGCGAGCAGGCCTAATCGGGGAGGTTCTGAGCTGTACACATAGAGAGGATTAGTTTCTTTGAAATCAGCCTCGGTAATGTATTTCCAGCTGGCTGAGCTGACAGTACTCTCCCTTTTGAAGATAGATCTTATCCGGATATGTATCTACCTAATAGAACAATGAAATTAATTCTCCGAGATGAGGCCTTGTGAGGGATTTGTAGAGGAGCTAATAGGATTGCAGGCCAGCGCTGGGTGGTTATCTCTAGGAGTTTAATCCAAAACGGATAAAATGGTTTGTTAGATTTATTTTTGAAAATAAGAATGCACAAGAATACTGTCTAGTTTTAATGAAGCAGTAAAACTTCAGGAATTGTAAAAAAAAAACCAACTATATATATTGTTGGAGAGAATACAAGTTCATTGGAGGTTTTTAGACTGTGAGTGTGTGTTTCCGGAATGGAAGATAGGAGAGGTGTACAGCAGGAATGGACAGACTTAAAGGGACTTTGCCACTGGGTTTAAAAAGTGTAGATAAGCAGGACATGCAAAAGAAAAGGCTTTAAACTCTCCTTTTACACCACCTGTTCCTTCTGACTTGGCTCTCTTGCTGAGCTATGGCCTCTTCACTTCTGGAAGTCGCCTGCTGCGTGCTTTGTGTCTTACGCTGGCCCCTATCTCACTACAAGCAAAACAAATGGCAAACACACTCATCAATTTGTTACCAGCTTTACAGCAAGGTGCACATGGAAGGGCCTAATACAGTACAAACAGCAAAAAGTTTTCCCAGCATGCTGGCTGGCGAGTGTGCTGGGAAAACTTTTTGCTATCTCACTACAAGACACAGCCATGACTTAGGAGTCAGTGGAAGAAACCACAAAGAATGATGTGTGACTTAAGGTGGCCATATACTTTACAACCATTAGACCTTAGTCTTGCGATGGTTGTAAAGTAATTAAAAAAACGTACGATCTGCCCATCTTGGACAGGCAGATCGTACTTGCAATCATCGCAAGCCCTCCCCCTGAGAGGCGGGCTTGCGATGACTGCAATGCTGAACGGGCAGTGTGCGCATGCGCACACCGGCCCGTTCGGCATTTGTCTCCCGAGCACCGTTTTTCTAGCGTGCTGCTTAGACAAAAGACATGCGACCGTACAGTAGTAACTGTCGCACGTCTTCATTCACACTGCACGATTCTCGTACGATCGCGGGATTTCCCGCGATTCAGTGTATGGGCACCTATAGGCTTCTGACACTCCCGGAATTATTGAATTGAAGGAGGCCGCAGCTTATGAAAACAGTAAAGATCAGAGCACCAGACAGTGGGAAAGGAAAGTATAAAGCATCTTCTTTTACAGGTCCTTCTTATACAAGTTGCTGTCAGGTGTCTGCCTGCCCAGCACCCATGTTGTAGCAGTGGGCAATTGAACCTTGGTCTCTGAGGTGGTGGTGGTGCTGTAGCATTGTCTTTGAGCCACTAGGCTGACTCAACTCTCCTTATAGATAAATACACAGCAGTTTTCCTCTGGGCTCTCTAGCTCCACCTAGTTACCAGCTGCAGTCAATCTGCAATCAGCCCAGCATTCACATACTGAGCATTTCCTGTGCTCTGAGCCCTTTATTTGGGTGTGTTCCTGTGTGTGCTGCTGTTGGATTGATCGCTGGATGTTATTAAGAGTTTGGCCTGTTTCCTGACTATTCTTCTAATTTTGTACCTCGCTTGCCTGTTCATGTTAGATCTCGGCCTGTTTCTTGACTACTCTCCTGGATCCTGATTTTGTACCTGATTGCCAGTTTGTTGCTGACTCTCTGCTTGCTTGACACCGCCTAACCTAAACCTCAGCCTTGCTCCGCTTCCGACTCTACCTTCCACAGGTACCCTCTTTACAGTTGCAACCTTACAGTTGCTTTTAAGTGGTCAGGCTATGGGCATTCAAATAGTTAAACATTTTTAAAAAATAGTAAAGGAGCTTTAAAACAAGCACTCACCTCTGTAGCTGCAAGTGCTGTGGAGCAATTCATCCCCAAGGTGCAGAAGAGAAGCACTAAAGTACTTCAAATCAGGTCTCAACACTCTGCTCTCCCCTCCTTCTGTGTATTTACATTAGAGATTAGAAGGCTTGCACGTTTCACTTTAGGTAAGGCTTCTTCAGGAGGAAGACGTTCAAGTTAAAAAAATTAGCCCAATTATACAAACAGAGGAAAGAGAGAAGATTCTCATGGGGGTGGGAAACCACACCAAGGGATGGTCCCAGAACACCTGCTGCTAGAGGATGCTCACCAGAGTGGATGCACAGATCTTAACCTGGTGGTCCAGTTGCAGGAAGACTGCACCCAGCATGCAGGAAGACTGAAACACAAGATCCAATGGTCAATAACACTCAGGAGTAACATTAATCAGGGAATGGTATGTGACGTCTGGGAGAAAAGCAGCAAGACACTACGCCATAAGAGCAGAATACTACAGCCTCTAATCCAACAACGCTTGCTGCTGCTGCTTCCCGCCTGACGGATACAGTGTGCTTCTCCGACGTGACCCCTCTGTCCGCCTGTCTGTGGCAGCTCATGCCCGATAGAGTCAACCCTTACCCGAATCTGAAACAGTTGTTTTCCTCTTATTACACTCCTATGCCTTTGATCCATTGATCGTGGAGACATACATATGATACACACTCTCTCCTATTTTCTTCCCCTGAAGAAGCCCCGTTTGGGCGAAACATGTCGGGATATATAGGAGCATTCATACAACCTTGAAAAAAGCAACTATACATTTCAGTACAGTACTGTTACCAGACGGTGAATGCACCTGCATATGTTTCGTTTAGTTTTTTCTCGTTTTTTAAAATGGCACTTTAAATAAATGTCTTTCCAAGATTTTACCTCTGAGGTCTGGAATCGTTTCTAAAAAGCCCCCCCCTCTCTCCTTCCCCTGTGGGCATCCGCACACCCCACTGTGGAAACATCCTTTTTCTTCTATAACACTCAGGAGTAGAGTTAACTCATAAGATGAGTAATAGTGTAATAACTCGTATAATGTGTTGTCTCTCCACATATTGGGCAAAGTTCGGGTACTACTTGAATTTGCTGACGTATATCTCAGTAGTATTGGGTTGAAAGAAAAAGATAGGAAGTATAAAGGGTAGAAAAAAGAACCCAGGGGAAGCTACATAAAACTTTAGGTGAGGAACAATCAAAAGCAGAGCCAGTAGCAAGGTAAGAACAGGAGAAGCAGATTGAAATAGAAATCTAGAAATGAAAAAAAAAAAAAGAACAGTCAGACCCTTCCTCCACCGAGACACAATGGCCAGGAAAATCCAATCTCTCTACATTTAAGACATCTTTCCGTTTCTGAGAATGGCGAAAGTCAGTCCAGACCACCAAGGTGATAGTATAGGGTTCCACTTTGTCATGAGCCATCGCAGTCAGATGCTCCATAAGCATATTATTGTCCAATTCTGACCCATTCAGCCAGGGAGTTAACTCTGGGTGTAGGCCAATAGTGGGGTATATGGGTTCTAGCAGCAGTAAGGAAACAACAGATAACATCTTTATCAATAGAGGTATCGGATCCAGGTAACATGGACAAAAGGATAACTCCAGGTGTGTTTTGGAACCTTGGATCCATTATACGTCTTTTTGGGGTGTATACATAAAAGAGAAGGGCTAGAAAAGCTAAAATACATACTTTTCTTAGATAAAAAGTAGCTAAAAGTCCCTCAAGTGCTGTTCAATGACCAAAAAGCCTTGGCCTTTGGTCATATAATCTTTGCTGAAGGGGAGGATCAGCCAGTCTGAACCTCCGATCCTTCCTTTCAACTGAGTTTATGGGACCCAAGTGTCTTCTTGTGATCAGCACTGCGGTGAGCTTTTTCTGCAGACAATTGTAAGTATATTCGCCCTTCTCTGTATCCACTGCAGCAAGATTATTAACACGGCTTTAGGTGAACGTCTGAGTTTACATTTCTGCTTTAAAGGATAACTGTTCTTCTAGATTATAAAGCGTTAGCCTTGAGCTCTCCGTCAAAAAATAGTATGTACAGAAAGCACTTTTCCAGGCTGGGCAGCACACAGATTTCAGGCACCTGTCAGGAGGAAGCAATGTAGTTGGATGAGAAATATTTGCACATAATGGTGTCACGCTCATTGTAAAACCGCTATATAGCATGAGGGATGTGATGGAAGCAAGGACTTGGCTGTCTGGCTGGTGACGGCTTAGAAGAGCTTTTGTTATTTTTATTTTTGAGTTGCTTTTCGCAGCCTGTTCACATTTGGGCATTTTTGCTGCATGAAAATGCAGGTACTGTAGAAATCCCATTCTTTCCTATGTGGCTGGTCCATTTCTATGTGCGGCAGTTTAGTGTGAAAAGGAATGGGATACAATATAGGCCCATTTATACCTACCATTTGAACTGCTTCAAGAACCCATAATAACCACTGTAAGACTATACCTGGCCGTTCGGAGCCAGGAGCTCCTCCATGTGCATCACATCATTAACTAGGCTAACCCATTTGGAGAGGGGTGGGGTAGTCGTCGTTTTCAAATCCGGTGTTTTAGGGGGCAATACACCGTAGTGTAAACCCGGCCACTTTTTAATACTGGTAATCCAATACATTGTTATAAGTTTTTTAAAGTGTATGTAAACCCTAAATAGTTTCATTATGAGTATGTTTGCCATTATGCTTCAATGTGTACAATGTGGACGGAAAACTTATGTAATGATCTCAAGCCTGAAAAGGAAATGAAATATTAAAGCTGTGCCCAGAAAAAAAAGGCAGACCAGGGACTTGTTACCAGCATTGAAACTTAATCCTCCTGTCCCATCGCACTCCTGACCGGAGAAAAACCCAAATCCAACTGGGTGGGTGCGGTGGTGACAACGGATGCCTCCGTGAAATGTAGATAGATGAAAGTAGTCACTCGCACTCCATGATATTAAAGTCAATGCTGTTTATTGACTGAGATAACACACATCTCCTTAGCGAAGGAGATGTGTGTTATCTCAGTCAATAAACAGCATTGACTTTAATATCATAGAGTGCGAGTGACTACTTTCATCTAGTTACCAGCATTGTCTGTGGTCCCCTGCAGCTGATCTTTTCCCCATTACTGACTTACCATGCCTAGTTTTGCACTATGTCTCTGTGTAGAGGCAGCCATCTTGGTAGTGGCAGGGCTGTGCTTCCTCGTGTGTCTGAACCTCCAGCAAGGAGAACAGTGAGCAGCACAGTAGTGACATCACAGAATATCCCAAATCTATCAGAGACAGCAGTGCCTTCGAGCTCCCACTTCCGATATACAGCTATGAGGCTGGGGACACAGGAGTGACTAGGCACACTCCCATACTAGAGAGCGCGCAGCTATTTTTCAGGAGGAACTCAAGACAAAACGTACATTTTTTTTCAGGGTACGGCTTTGGCACAATGAACATTTCCAGATGTTCCCTATAACAAAGCAGATCTTCACATTTTGAGCTCAGGTCCACTTTGAAGAGAGAAGCCGCATGGGGTATCTCCTAGTCTCTTTTTGGGGGGCGATGGGGTTAATCAAATACAGCCTACTGCAGTTCTCTGTTATTCCATAGAACTGCTTGTTCCATGGATCTCCGCTGACCTCCCCAGTGTGTTATCATTGTTAATACTTGCTGACTGCTGTTAATATTCAGCATTTCTGTCTCCAATTATCAGCGCGTTTCTGAAGATATAAAATAAAATGCAGTAATAAATGCTAAAAGAAAAATTGATGGAAAACTAATTTATGCTGCGTAAATCGTAAGAGCTGGCAGGGAGAGACACCACAGGCTGGATTTATGGCTGTAGACCTGGAGGCGGAGATGGCAGCTCTGCGCAAGTAGGAAATGTCCGGCCATGACACATTTATGAGGCTCTGCCGGGCCTTAGATGGCAGATTTAGATGGGGGAGAATAGTGCGGTTTCAGATAACAAGTGAAATTAATCGGGAAAAGTTACTAATGCCATCCAGCGGTCTCTGTAGTTGTGCTAAAGTCAGGAAGTTCACTCAGTTTACTTACTGAGTTTTATTGTCAGGTACCTGCCCGCGGAAGATGCCGAGTCCCTCTGCAGGGACGCAGACATAGAGGGCGTCCACCGGCACGTCCCGGCCGCGCAGGCGCCAATGGAAGACGGCCCAGCGGGTCACGCCCCGCGCGGCGTTACGTCATCGCGGCAATACGGCGCGGTGACGTCATCACGCCGGCGCATGCGCAGTAGCACGTCCTCGGGCTATATAAGACGCCGCAGGACGCCCATTCAGTGCTGGGTGATCTTCAGCCAGCACTGGAGGGTTCTGTGGTGCTTATGCCTGTTCCCTTGTGCCTTGCCTTGCCTTGCCTTGTTCCTGCTCTTCCCCATTGTGATTCCTGTCTCCAGTGCCTTCCTAATATTGACCCGGCTTGTCCATTGACCCTTCTCTGGTTAACCCCTGGTACTCTGCTGCCCGCACGTTATTGACCCGGCTTGTCCATTGACCCTTCTCTGGTTAACCCCTGGTACTCTGCTGCCCGCACGTTATTGACCCGGCTTGTCCATTGACCCTTCTCTGGTTAACCCCCGGTACTCTGCTGCCCGCACGTTATTTGACCCGGCTTGTCTCTCACTCTCCCTTTTGCTGTATCCTTCTAGCACGACGGCCATTCTGCTAGGTCATCAAGTAGACCTTGTGGCCTCAAGATCCGCATCCGGCACTCGTGCATCCCCTGCCTGAACCTACTGTTCTCAACCCCAGTGGTCATCAGACGGGGTTGCAAGGGAGGTCCTCCTCGTCACTTCGGGCTCACACCACGATCCTAACATTTTATATTATAAGCTGACAGCAGATGCAGGCCCCTCCTCTCTTCTATATTTTTGCAGCCTTTTGTCATAGGATCCAGCAAGTTGTTAATTTTTTTCCAAAGGGCCTCTTTGTGCTTAATTATAGGGAATTTGCTGACTGTTCCAGGTATAAAGCAGCATTGCAATTTATGAGCTGGTAAAAGGGATTTTTAGAATTTAAAGAACTGTGGAATTATTTTAATCTCCCCCCCAGGTTAAAATAAATTAAATAAACATTTTGCACTACTTACCCTCTCCTTGCTATAGCTATGCCCTCTGTGTCCTCCACTGCCCATGTCCAGTGCTTTGGAGTCATGCAAAACCCCTTCATCAGGTATGTTCTTTGCTGTCTACTTCCAGATCGAATGACGGCCTGCTTC